TTTTTTTTTTTTTTTTTTTTTTTTTTTTTTTTTTTTTTTTTTTTTTTTTTTTTTTTGGAGATTTACCTGATTTTTATGATAAAACATAAAGATGATGTTTTGAAAAGATTTTAGTTTTGGTTGCAAATGTTTTATTTTGAACCACCAAGAAAATTCGAAAGCCTCTTTCTTTTTCTTTCTGTAGGGGTAAGAGGTTTTGTGGGTAATATGCAATGAAAATAACACAGATCACCTCTTTCTTTCCTATTCCGGGTAAGATGTTTTGTGGGTAATTAGCATTATGAGGGAAAAATCCCCCTCTTTCTTTTTCTTTCTGTAGGGGTAGGAGGTTTTGTGGGTAATATGCAATGATAATAACACAGATCACCTCTTTCTTTCCTATTCCGGGTAAGATGTTTTGTGGGTAATTAGCATTATGAGGAAAAAATCCCCCTTGCAAAAATAGGATGGGGCAAAAACCCTCTGGGAATGATGTTTAGTGGGTAATACGCATTATGACGAAAAATTCTGCCTCGCAAAAATATAGGATGGGGCACAACAAAAATATAGGATGGGGCACAACAAAAATATAGGATGGGGCACAACAAAAATATAGGATGGGGCACAACAAAAATATAGGATGGAGCACAACAAAAACCAGATATGGCAAGACTTAAGATTGTGTGCTATATCACGCTTGTTATTATCATTATCATCCATGGGAAGGCAAAGTCGAAGACAAAGAGGATATTTCCCAGTGTCATTCGCATCCAATGTAGGATAAGACGATAACTTACATGAAAATAGCAATTCAATTGTAGTTGTGTCCAGCAGCCGTATAACGACTGTTAGCGAACTAATAAGGAGGCAGTAAGAAACACCGGAAACGTGTGATAATATGCTTTAATTCCCCACTCGCCTAGCCTATTCACCCAGTAATTAATTGGGTGGGTCTTTTATCCGCTAGCATAACCACTAACTCGGCGGAAACAGCACACAGTGGATTGTGGCTTACTTGCTGTGATCCATTGTATTCTCGGATGAGATGGAACACAGTCTCAGAGGTAAAGAGTTTGGATAAGGGTGAAGACATATTATCCTTTCTGGTTATTGATAATGTTGAGGTATCTTTGAGTGTCCGTGTTTAGAACTTGATTATGGTTGTATTTTTATGTCTTTTGGCATTGAGATAGTAAAACGCAATATACGTTCGGTGAGTGCGCTTGTAGTGGTCCTGATTTTCTCAGGTAATTCTGGAGTTTGTGTAAGTGTGTACCTATGTGTTATTTGAGTGT